ACGCACACACGAGAATGTGGGACATTCATCAGGGAGTGGCACGCCCACGGAGAAAGTGAGATAGAGCGAGAGAGCGAGAAAGAGAGAGAGAGAGAGAGAAAGACAGAGACAGGCAGCAAGCACCTCCAGCTGGCTTACGGAACACGGTTGCATGCACTTCATTTGGTGTGGTCAAGCGGTAATTGATTTCTGTTGACCACAACATGGCACATACACACGCATACACGCACACGCACAACCAAGCAGCCTGAGGACGAAGCGTGTACTTATGCGAGTGTCAGACTCCATGTCCTTAGCCATATCCTGTATCATTGCCGTAATTTATGGAGTTGGCGTTGCCTTTGTCCCGAGTAGCGTGGAGCTGTCAAAGCGTCTTAGTGCTTAATGGTTTATATGGCAGCCGGCAGCTAGCAGAGCCCAGGAGCTGGAAATTTGTACGGAATTTACGCGCTGGCCATTAACTTCGAATGGGCAATCAATTCCAAGCATTCGCACGACGTATTCGTGAATAATCTACTAATTTATTCACTGCGAATATGCTCAACGAGCGCCTGAATTGAATGCTCAAAAAATGTCTGTTTCTGTGTGTTTTGCGCCCGCCTAAAAGTATGCTCCGAAATGATCTGCCCTTCCATTCAATATTGTTTTTTGCTTTTGGTATTTATGTTACATAAAACATTTATTGCTATTTTACATATGAATCGCATAATTTGCATTTCTTAAGTTCGTTGAGGTGTACAGAAGTGAAAAATATTAAAATTTCTGTTTTAACACACACGCACACATATATTAAGAACATATGTATGTATGTATTTGAGAGTATATATATATAATACTTATTTTGTTTTTATTTATTAAAATGTTTTTTATGTGTACATAAATTATTTGATTTAAATTACTCTGCTTAAATCCGAACAGAACTACAATTTTCTTTTGAAATTCATTGTTTACGACAGTAGAAATGTACATCTAATGTTCTAGTCCCATTTGTATTACTCATGAATAATCCAACGAGCTGAAACTCGGACCTGTTTGTGTAGCACAAAGTGAACAGGTTCTAGTTAAATAATGCAATTATATGATTCTGGCTAATTTCTTCTGCTTGGTAGCCTAGACAAAGTGTCAAATTCTAAGTAATTATGCATGTAGTTGACAAATAGTTTAACGGACGGTTTCAAACACGCCTTGTGTGGATTTTGCATTGGCAAACACACGGCATGTTTTGTAAAATATCTAGATATTTTATATTTTGAAGAAATCAAATTTCATGCTTGCCAAGTTTCAAAGTTTTTTCTCAGTAAGTCTTGCTGCTTGCTTTTTTTTTTTAAATATAATTAACTATAGTTTGTTATACTTTCAATAGAAATGCAAAACAGGATCTATCTTTTTTACTTTCTTTTTTTTTTTGTTTTTTGTGGTTAGTACCAGGTAAACAGTTTAAGAGATTCTCAATTCTCCAAATGCATGATATAGTTACAATTCAAAGGAGTTGCAGCTGAATGTTTCTCTTGCCACGCCTCTTTACTTATACTCTATGTAAATATGATTTTTAAATACTTTTTTTCTTTTGTATTTCATTTTTGGTTAATCGTATTCGTGATTGCTTGCACATTTAAACATACTATATCAAAAAAAAATTACATTTGTATAAACACTGAAACGCAGACCGCGAATTGCCGGCCAGGACAAGTCTAACAATTTAACAATTAGATTCACAATAAAAGTACAATGCAACAGCTCAGAAGTGATAGATGATTATTATAAATAGATATACTTATTTGTGTATATAATTATATATATATTTTTTGTTTATGCAGCAACCGATGCCATAGAAACCCAAATATAATATTAGTTTTATCCATACCAAACACAACTTACTTGTAGTAGAATCGTTGACAACCACAGTTTCAATTTCTTGCACATCACATACTTGTTTTAGAGTGACTCCGTTTCCATCAGCCCCTCACCCGTTGCATTCCTGACCCTGATTTTGACTGTCTCCCTCTCCCTCTGCCTGTCCTTGTCTCTGTCTAGCTTCCGCGTCAGAGTGCGCGTCCTCTGAAGCTGACGCCGGCTGCCTCAGAGGCGCGGACTCTCCAGTATGGTGTGGCTGGACATGGCCGAATTGGCCAGCGCAATCGAGTTGCCAGCAACCGATAGGTTCGTCTCATTCTTGGAGCGGCGTCGGCAAAATCCAAAGAGTCCGCCATCGCACAGTCGCATGCCCTTGAAGGTGTCCACAAAGGCACGCCGGAAGCTCGCATTCATGAAGCAATAGGTGATCGGATTACAGCAGCTGGAGGAGTAGGCCAGCAGCTGCAAGAAGCTTATGGCCGTGTAGTCCACATACTCATACACCACGGGTCCAATCAGCATAGTCATCGTATTGATCACGTACAGCGGCGTCCAGCAGATGAAGAACTCCAGCACCAGCACAAACAGCATCTTTACCACCCGCTTCTTGCTCTCCAAGCTCTTGCTCTCGTTGGATCTGCATGCGACAATATATGTATATGGAAATCTTAGATGCTGCAATGGTGCTCATAGAGCTGTGATGCCAGGTCGACTTACCTGCGCAGTGTCGCCTCCGTGATGCGCAAACTGGGCGTGGACAACGATTTGCGCCGCTCTCCATCGCTGCCCGCGGTCGTGTAGAGCTGCTGCTGCTGCTGCCGCATTCGCTGCATTCGGCCACAACAGTCTCCAGATCCGCCAAGGAACTGCTGCTGCTGCTGTTGTTGCTGATGGCGCAGCGACTTGACCGAGGCGCTGCGCATGCAGTAAAGATGCCGCCGGCCATCGCAGGAGCCGAATAAGCGCCGCTTGCTGCCGCCATGTGCGTAGCCTTCCGCTGCAAGAGATTGGGCGAGAGAGATAGAGAGAGTATATCAAAGACAAGCCCATGCAATTTCCAATGATAGATGTGGTGGCAAACCTTCCTTTGCTGGGGATACACGAATGTATATTTGATATATTTTTTTCATAACAAATCTAGTTGGTCCTCGCTGAGTATAGAAAAAGAAGGTTCATCAAATACCTATGCAGACAACCCGCTCACTTTTGGTGTTCATTATCGTAAGCAAAATTGAGCTCGAGTCGGCCAGCCTTAAGTTTAGTTTACACTAAAACAGTTCACTTCAAACATGTTGACCGTATATATTCCGTATATTTTCTCTCACTTTGTGTACAGAGGCAAAGATTGTGCGTATACGTAATATATCATTGTTTCTGACATCATTCGCTTAAATTAAGAAAGCTGTTCGACACATCACCACATATTGTATTATATATGTAATATGGAGAATATTGCCAGTATCCATATGTACAATAGATTAAAGAGAATATGCATATTTTTGTTTACATTTGACGAGGGGAAGACTTACATCTACATAAATGTAAGCATGATTCGACGATTTTCCCAATTTAATTTTGTTGTGGCTTAATTGATTCGACTGTTAATAATCGCAAGCTAAAAGCGTGCATGTTTGCTAATGGAACAACATATTTGCATATACAACAGCCAGAACGATTTTATTGAGAGTGCCCCGACCAGCATATATATTAAATATGTAGGTAGGTCTTTTTTTGATTATGTGTATATGTATGTATGTATGTGTGTATGGAAGTACCATGTATGTCTGTATGTCTGTATGTTTATATGTATGTACGTAAGTAAGTTGTATGTCTGTATGTATGTATGTATGTATGTATGTATGTATGTATGCATATATGTTAGTATGTCTGTATGTATGTATGTATATGTGTATATATGAATGACCTCCTATACCAAGTTTTCTTCCAGATGCGCCACACATTTAATATAATGTAATTTTCAATAATGCCCTACTATGCGATTCTCATAAATTTAAGCAAGCTCTACAGATCTTCATGCTTTTTGGATAAGTGTTACATTAAAAATTTGTGTTCAACTCAGTTCATACATTCTCACTCTTATTTACTCTTATGCACTCCTTTTTTTTCCGTCTCTTTCCCTCTCCCCCTCTCTCTCTCTCTCTCTCTCTCTCTCAGTTAACTTTAACCTTTCTATTTCTCTATTTCACTTGTTTTTTTTTATGTCTATATGCGAAAGTTTTCCGTGCCCCCACTAATAGAGAGCAATAAACGTGCGTGTGTGTGCGATTGTTTTGGGTAAGTACATATTTGCATATATATTTATATATATGTATATATAGGTTACGGCAATTCAGACCTGGGCACGGGTTTTATCATGGTGTATATGTACGATACCATTTCTTCCGCATTTCCCTTCAATGGGGTACAGCTTTGTTGTGTTTTATTGTGCGTGTGGAAGGCATCAGTTTTAATAGCGGGCGGAATGGCATTAAAGCTGGCTTATGTAAATCACAATATAACCAATTTAAGCAACTGACTGACAGCTGGCGCTAATCAGTCGCAGTCGGACGATGGGCATTAGACTGTTGCCGAATGGCAGTCGGACAGGCAGCTGCTGGATGAGTATCGTGGACGATGCTGCTGATTCCACTTAATTGGCTGCTCGGCGTGGCAGGGCCTTGGGGCTGGCAACATGGTGCACTTTGCACTGGGCATCGACTGGCCTGCCGGCGCGGGATTAGCAGCTGTTGTGCGCGCTGCAGCTCTTCGCAGTGTGCAAGGCCTGGATGAACGACGCCACTCGCAGGTCACCCACAATCCGTGTGGGCTGGCGGCAACGATGCGTCAAGCTGTTGCCCCTATTTACGCTGCAACGGCTCCGATATATTGCCTCAATCCGCCTCCAGCTGCAGCAGTTCGCGCCTCAAAGCCCTTCGTGGCTGAAGAAGAACTGCCCACACGCCACACGTTGCAGGTGACGGCCTCAGCTGTGCTTTTGCCTGGATGCACAGTGCCTCAAGCTGGGCAGGCAAGTGGCTGCCCCAGCTGGAACCTTTGTTTGCGCTTCGGATATCGGTATATTTCATTGTGTGAAATATATAGATGTACACATATATGTCATCGAATTTCGATTGCTTTAAATATCTTTGGCCGATTTGATGCCATTTTTCATTGAATTTCCTGAATATGAACAGCAGGCCTTGACAATAGCCGGAGCTGAGAGCTGTCGAAAAAGTTGGATGAAAAATGGTTGCTGAAAATACCTTCAAGGAAAAATGTTTAACTGGCGCTTTTGTCTTCAAATCCTGCTATTTATTTTAATTGTGTTCTGGGGTAAGTGAGACCACGCCCACTTCCGGTTATATTGAGTACCAAGCGTTCGCTGTTTGCAGCTGGCATTTGCATTAAGCTGTCGTATGATGTTCTAAAGAAGCATCCAGGTGAGCGTCGTCAAGGAACGGACCGAACCGAGTTGGGTAAGTTCGCCCGGCCCGAATGACCCACTTAGCTCTAACCTTTGCCCAGGTCAGCAACTGTATCCATACGATTTGATGGGCGGCCGAGCGTCTGCTCTGCGCCAGCGTAACGCACTGCTGCGCCGCGAGGGCGTATTCGACAATGGCTACAGCAGCCGGCTGGTGGATCTGGTCTATCGCACCGCCATGAAGAGCACCAACGACCGCAGGCGGCAGGTCGAGTTTGAGCAGAGTGTGGCGGCCGCACGACAGATTATCGAGCTGGCCGGCGCGGCGGCAGACGCCGAACGCACGGCCCACATTCGCCTGGTCAGCGGCGAGGACTCGGTGCCCATCAATGCGCGCGGAGCCATAGATGCGGCAGGTGAGGATCAGCAACTGATTTTTCTCAAGCAACATTAATTCACAAATTGCAGAGCTCGTCGCCGCCGATGACTACAACTTGGCGCATTATACAAGACTAAAGTCAAAAAAGTCGTGAAAAGGCGTCGTTGCTAAGAGTTGATAATTCCACTAACATATTGAATATTTAATTATATATATATATATAATATATATAGAGGGTACACTCTGGCAAACAGTTCATAGGTGTAAAAATCTGTTTTTCATTATCGTTCAAATATTCTGTTTGACCCAAGCCTTTGTAAACTGTGCGGCGGAGATTGCAGCCGCAACCAAGTGCTGGTTAGGGTCATAGATATTCCATTTTTTCCCGACTTCCAAGAGAAGTACTTAAAGAAATTTCTTTTTTAATTTCTCAAGTCAAATTCTCTCAGTATTGAGGCATAATTTTGTCATTGCGAATGAATAAAATATAACTTGTGCTGCCAAATCTTGGGCGTTTGTTGCTGTCGTCGTAATTAGAATACGACAAAAATTACACTTTTAATTAATTATTTTAATTAATTAACATAACGCTAACATAACGTTACTTAGAAACACGTAAGATGAAATGTTCTGAAAGTGCCGAAGATTGAATACCCTTGCTTAACATGAGAATACCAAAAAATAGACTATAAAAATAATTACATTTGTTGTATCCACAGTCTGATCCATTATATAGTAATCAGAGCTAAGACTTTGCCATGGTTAAAACACAAGTGTGTGCTAGGCGGACACGTGCTTTTTGCAAGAGTTCAGTGTCCTGTTCGAGCACAAAAGCCTGCTGTCTGCACAGCTCGTGACCAAGTTGTGATACCCCATGCGAGGCTTTAATGACAACGGGGCTTACAGCAAATATTACGCGTTTAGGGCTCTAATTATATTAAACTTGGTTATGGAAATTGCCAGCGAGAGCGCCGCGCGTTGCGCTGAGTGTAATAAAACATTTTCGCCCATTTCCCCGAGCGGGGCATTGCTAGCTCTAGTGGGCGGCGGGGTGGCTGGCAATTTATGAGACAAAAATGTTAAGTGCCGGCCGTAAATTGCATAGGTTTTAAAAATTTAATAAAATTTATCATCAACTGGCATTGGAGCATGTCTCTCGTTTTTTTTTTTTTAGCTTTTTAGCTGTTTGTGGCAATGTGGTGTGTGGCCATTTACGTGTGTGTGTGTGTGGAATGTGGCATGTGAAAATGGTGACACCATTTGCGGAGGGGACCTGATCTGGTCTCACTAATTTGTGCGTGGCCCTTTTAGGTCGATAAACGAGATAAGGACATTTAACGAGCGTTTAAATGCTCGACCCGCAAGCATAATTTATGGTATTTAATTTGACCCTTTCGCTGTGCCTAACCCCGTCTAATGCAAAGCGGATGTGAAGCGGCACTTAGCCCGCCAGCTGGTATGGCAAAAAAAGAGGAAGGTTTGCTGAAAACCAGCCGAGTGTCCTTTACGGCAGCACCCTGTGATAATTCATTATCTGCGTGGAGCTTTGCATTTAAAAGCACTCGGCAAGAGCGCAAGTCTACGCTAATATGCAATTTCTGTTTGCCTGCTGTTTGAGCCGCTTTCCAGCAAATCCGAGTGGATGGGCGAGATGGCGACAGGGCTGCCAAGTGAACGGGTTTTCTTTTATATTTTTGGTTTGCGGGTCACAGTAATGGGGTAAACGTATACTTTTAGGCACGCGCAGAAAACTAAAAACGTCTCGTTTGACTCGCTGCTGTAACTTAACCCATCCGGAACAGGCTCTAATTAACGCAAATGGATAAACGGACTGCCGCAGGGCCATGCAGCCGACTTGGGCCAGCCTAACCTCACTTAACCCCAATCTGGTAATAATGAAAAGTTCTATTTATGACCTTCTTTAAGAACTTCCAAAGCCATAATTGATTGTCAGTTAGCGGCATCTATTTGGCCCAAATAGCAGCGAAAATTCAAATGTAACCAATTTGGAAAATAGTGTGGCAATATTGGTTAAGTTTAGCTGCGTCACGTTTTATACTTAAAGCAGTACTATGCGGCGTATGAGTAACGCGGTTAGTTAGTAGGAGGAACCGCATCTCGTTAGAGCCGGCCGAGCTGTTGGGCTGTTGCAAGCTGGATCAAGCCGGCTGCCGCAGTGAAACACATTTTTCGCGTGGATGACTTTGCCATGCAAATTGTGTGTGGGCGAACGAAAGCGGGCGGCAAAATGGAGCAGGGCAAGGGGAACGGCCATGTGAGCACAAAATGTTCGCAAATTCAAGCAATTGAAGCTGTCGTCGTCTGATTTTTAGCCCACGCAAAAACTGTTTCTGTTCAGAAATTTTCTTTTACTGGTACACTTATTGAAAGAGTTTTCTTTCAGAGAGAGAGAGAGAGAGTGTGGGTGAGAGTGGGAGGGAGGGAGCAAACGAGATAAATTTAAAGTCGGAAAATGTTTAAGCTTGAATATAGAACCCAACCCAATAATACGAGGGCAGTCTTTTAGGGGAACCAAAACTCAAATACTCTATAATTGAAAGATATTTATATACACAGGTGCGATAAAAATACTATTCACTAATATTATTTCTTATTTAATATTTAAAATAGTTCACTTAGCTTGTTTTCTCTAAACATTAATTAAGAGACCTCTATAAATATCGCTTGCGAAGACTTGTCTAGTATTTGTGCAATAGAAGCATAGCCCGAGCAAAGCCGGGTAATGTTCGCTACTTACCGTAATAGTATTGCGGCAGTCCGCTTGCTTTCTGCTGCTGTAGAAGCATATCCAGCTTGGCGGTGCCATCGATGGCCATCGCCTCCTGGCGCATCTGCATGCGCATCAAGTAGTTGGAGTTGCCGTAGCTGCGCCGGATGCCGGTGCAGCTGCTGTTGTTGTTGCTGCTGCTGTTGCTGCTGTTGGTGGTGAGGCCGACGTCGGGGCCGCTGCTGCCAAAGTTCATGGCGCGCTCGTTGCGCATGCTCACGTAGAGGGTCCGCGTGATAAACAGATAGGCAAAGCTAAGCGCCATTAGCGGCACCACGAGTAGCGCCAGATTGAGAAAGATGTTGTACGCCCGCTCATAGCCCAAGGAGTTGGCCGGCCACTGTTCCCGGCATTTGCGCAATCCTGCAAATCGGAATATTAGGGTTAACACAAGGACTCTGGCTGACTGACTTTAGCCTGGCTAAATTGGCTTACTCACCCTGACGACTGGTCGGCATTAGCTGGCTAAAGATCGCGATCGGTGTCATGCAAACCAGACTGCCCAGCCAGATGAAGGCGATGATCTTGTTGGCATGATTGATGGTCTGCCAGGTGCGAGATCTTAGCGGATGGCAAATGGCATAGTAGCGCTCGCAGGATATGGCCACCAGGGTCCAAGAGGAAACTGCCACCGAAGCGGCTGTAAATAATCAGTGTCAAAATCGAAAGTCCATAAATATGTTGCAGTGTTCAAAAACGTATAAAAGTGGTCCCGTTTGATAATTTCGATAGGCAATAGCTGATATTGTCGATAGTGCGGATATCTAATAAATACATACATTTGATTTGATTCTATTTACATAGTTTATTCCTTAAGATCAGGGAATTCCCAGTGTATGAATTCTTAAAAGAGTGCCCCACTCGAAAACATTAATAGGCAATGACTGATAATATCGATATTACGCAGAGTACATATTTTTTTTAAAATATATTCCTAAATCTTAACCTTAATCTTTAAAATGACTAAAGCTTATACAGTTAATCAAAATGGAGAGACCATAAATGTGTTTCAGTGTTAGAAAACGAACAAAAGCAGCTCGGCGCGTTAATATTGATAGAGGATAGCTGGTGTTACACAGTTACAGATTAATTTATTAAAACATCCAAAAAAAATTGCCATTGGATAGCTTGATCAGATAGAGATATTTATAAAAGTATAGTATAACGAAAATCTATTGACATAGGCGAAAGCTATCAATGACGGCAGCTGCAGAAGGACTAAACAACTTTCGATTGCTGTCAAAATCGATACTGTTCTAATAATGAACAATTACTCCCGGATGTTTTGCTGTTCAAATAAAGCTTCTTAGAGGGTATTTGACATGTCATCAAGTTGCATAGTGGAAGGGAAAGGTCTCATTACATGAGACGCATCATTAAAATGCTAATTTATGCCGACTGTGGTTACGTTGGCGGTTGCGGTTCTATTTCTCGATTCGATTTGTCGGCGCTGGGCATAACAAATGCAAATCATTTGGGCCAGGACAACGATAATGATAATGGCCAAATGGTGGCCAACGTTAACTTTATTTGCATGTCAGTCGCCTGCAGGCGGCATCCCACCTGCGGCGCCACATAATGAAGTCAACCCACCTCTGCCAGATATGCATCATTCATCATAGCACTCGGCACTCGTATTACTAATGGTAGTTGTAGTACTCAATTTGGGCCAAATGCCAAATGCCAAATGCTGCTTCTGATGATGATGATGATGACGATGCGCGGCTGCCAGTCAAAGGGCAGAGGCCTGCTGCCTGCTGCTGCAAAATTAGGCCTTGCGTTTCCATCAAAAGCCGTTTCCCATATTGCCGTTCACTTTTCTGGATCCGCTGGCATGCAGATAGAAAGCAAACAGTGACACCGACACGCAAGCATTAAGGACCACGGATGTGTGGGCCATCGGAGACGTTGGGCTTGAGGATGGAGGAGGATGGGCATCGGGGATTGGACCGTGCGACCGTGGGCCTTGTTGGATTTTGTGGGCTGCAAAGTTGAAACTGTTTTTGGTTCTCAGTGGGCGTGCGAGTGTGTTTGTCTGTGTGTGTGGGTGTTTATTGTTGTTGTTGTTGTTGTTGTGTGAGCAGCAACCCATTAGCTGAGCGTGAGCCAAATTGTTAAACAAGCCAAGCTCATTAACAATGAAACAAAATTAAATTTAGCTCCGCCGCAGCGGCGCAGCGCCGCATCTGACCACGGCCATGGTTCAATGAGTCCGCCCGCAAATAAACATGCAAATTTTATGGAAATGCTAAATATAGGAAAATTGGACTGCGACAGTTCCCAGCCCAGGCCGACTTAGAATCTAGCTGGCCGAATACACAATAGCTGCGTACACGCCAATCCCAGAGGCAATTCTCTGAAAAAGCACTTGACTGAATATGTTGAAAATG